TTTATAATAACAACTTTCGACATTTAGCACACTCCCGAGAATCTATGACAAAACTTTTCGGTCACTTCCGGTAAATCGAAAGTATGATTGTGATGTGGACAAAATATTTAAGCGATCCCCCAAAAATTGCTTTGAACGGTAGCATAATACCAGGGCAACAAATTAACAACACCAAAGTTGTGCTCTGTCGTAAAACTTTCCAGTATTTAGCAAAAGTCGGAGAAAATGATCAAACTCCATGACGTTAGCGGTACGTGTCATTTTTTTAACGTTTTCGTATAAACAGCATACCCTAGATTGACAGACGCTGCGACCAAAATATTTGAGCCACCTCTAAAAAACTGATATCGCCTTGCAGCACAGTACCGTGGCAACAAATTCATAACATTAGAAGTGTGCTCTGCCGTAACAACTTTCAGCATCTAGCACACTCCCGAGAATCTATGACAAAAAATTTCGGTCGCTTCCGGTAAATCGAAAGTATGTGATGAGGACAAAATATTTAAGCGACCCCCCAAAAAATTGCTTTGAACGGTAGCATAATACCAGGGCAACAAATTAACAACACCAAAGTTGTGCTCTGCCGTAAAACTTTCCGGTATTTAGAAAAATTTTGAGAAAATGATAAAACTCCATAACGTTAGCGAGAAGTGTAATTTTTTAACGTTTTCGTATAAACGGCATACCTTAGATTGACAGACGCTGCGACCAAAATATTTGAGCCACCTCTAAAAAATTGATATCGCCTTGTAGCACAATACCGTGGCAGCACATTTATAACAGTAGAAGTGTGCTTTGCCGTAGCAACTTTCGGCATTTAGCACACTCCCGAGAAACTTTGACAAATATTTTCGGTCGCTTCCGGTAAATCGAAAGTATGATTGTGATGTGGACAAAATATTTAAGCGACCCCCAAAAAATTGTTGTGGAACGGTAGCATAATACCAGGGCAACAAATTAATAACACCAAAATTGTGCTCTGCCGTAAAACTTTTCGGTGTTTGGCAAAAGTCGGAGAAAATGATAAAACTCCATGACGTTAGCGGGACTTGTCATTTTTTTTTAACGTTTTCGTATAAACGGCATTCCTTAGAATGACAGACGCTGCGACCAAAATAATTAAAACACCTCTAAAAAACTGATATCGCCTTGCAGAACAATACCGTGGCAACAAATTTATAACATTAGAAGTGTGCTCTGCCGTAACAACTTTCGGCATCTAGCACACTCCCGAGAATCTATGACAAATTTTCGGTCGCTTCCGGTAAATCAAAAGTAAGTGATATGGACAAAATATTTAAGCGACCCCCCAAAAATTGCTGTGGAACGGTAGTATAATACCAGGGCAAAACATTTATAACACCAAAGTTGTGCTCTGCCGTAAATCTTTCCGGTATTTAGCAAAAGTCAGAGAAAATGATAAAACCCCATGATGTTAGCGGGACGTGTCATTTTTTAACATTTTCGTATAAACGGCATACCTTAGATTGACATACACTGCCACCGAAATATTTATCCACCTCTAAAAAAATGATATCCCCTCGTATCAAAATACCATGGCAACACATTTATAATAACAACTTTCGACATTTAGCACACTCCCGAGAATCTATGACAAAACTTTTCGGTCACTTCCGGTAAATCGAAAGTATGATTGTGATGTGGACAAAATATTTAAGCGATCCCCCAAAAATTGCTTTGAACGGTAGCATAATACCAGGGCAACAAATTAACAACACCAAAGTTGTGCTCTGTCGTAAAACTTTCCAGTATTTAGCAAAAGTCGGAGAAAATGATCAAACTCCATGACGTTAGCGGTACGTGTCATTTTTTTAACGTTTTCGTATAAACAGCATACCCTAGATTGACAGACGCTGCGACCAAAATATTTGAGCCACCTCTAAAAAACTGATATCGCCTTGCAGCACAGTACCGTGGCAACAAATTCATAACATTAGAAGTGTGCTCTGCCGTAACAACTTTCAGCATCTAGCACACTCCCGAGAATCTATGACAAAAAATTTCGGTCGCTTCCGGTAAATCGAAAGTATGTGATGAGGACAAAATATTTAAGCGACCCCCCAAAAAATTGCTTTGAACGGTAGCATAATACCAGGGCAACAAATTAACAACACCAAAGTTGTGCTCTGCCGTAAAACTTTCCGGTATTTAGAAAAATTTTGAGAAAATGATAAAACTCCATGACGTTAGCGGGACGTGTCATTTTTTAACGTTTTCGTATAAACGGCTTACCTTAGATTGACAGACGCTGCGACCAAAATATTTGAGCCACCTCTAAAAAATTGATATCGCCTTGTAGCACAATACCATGGCAACACATATATCACAGCAGAAGTGTGCTCTACCGTAACAACTTTCGGCATTTAGCCCACTCCCGAAAATCTATGACAAATATTTTCGGTCGCTTCCGGTAAATCGAAAGTATGTGATGTGGACAAAATATTTAAGCGACCCCAAAAAAATTGCTTTGAACGGTAGCATAATACCAGGGCAACAAATTAACAACACCAAAGTTGTGCTCTGCCGTAAAACTTTCCGGTATTTAGCAAAAGTCGGAGAAAATGATAAAACTCCATGACGTTAGCGTGAAGTGTCATTTTTTTAACGTTTTCGTATAAACGGCATACCTTAGATTGACAGACGCTGCGACCAAAATATTTGAGCCACCTTTAAAAAATTGATATCGCCTTGTAGCATAATACCATGGCAACAAATGTATAACAGTAGAAGTGTGCTCTGCCGTAACAACTTTCGGCATTTAGCACACTCCCGAGAATCTATGACAAAAATTTTCGGTCGCTTCCGGTAAATCAAAAGTATGTGATGTGGACAAAATATTTAAGCGACCCCCCCCCCCCCCCCCCCCAAAAAAAAATTGCTTTCGAACGGTAGCATAATACCAAGGCAACAAATAATTAACACCAAAGTTGTGTTCTGCCATAAAACTTTCCGGTATTTAGAAAAGTCGGAGAAAATGATAAAACTCCATGACGTTAGCGGGACGTGTCATTTTTTTAACGTTTTGGTATAAACGGCATACCTTAGATTGACAGACGCTGCGACCAAAATATTTTAACAACCTCTTAAAAATTGATATTTTGAAACTTATAACACAAAGTTAAAACTATAAAATTGAAAATGGAAATGGGGAATGTGTCAAAGAGACAACAACCCGACCGAAGAACAGAAAACAGCCGAAGGCCTGCAATGGGTCTGCACATATTATAACTAGATATTATTTCATAGATTGTTATGTTTTAACCAAAGTATTTATGAAATTAAACACATCATAGAAAAAAAATACATGATATGGTTATTGTGTACGGGTTACACTAAAGACCTGAACGTAGACCTGAATAGACCTGAAGATATACGACTCGATTTATTCAAATTACAATAACTTTTTTATTATCCAATAAATTTTCTTCATGTTTGAGTTTTATTAAAGGTTAAGATAAACATTTTATTAAAAACAAAATAAATGAAATAACAAAAAAAATTTTGATGCCAAAATACGGACCTGAACGGAGAAATGAAAAGACCTGAACGGACCTGAAAATCTATGGTCGGACTTATTCAAACTTCAATAACTTTTTAAATTTTCAATGGATTTCCTTCAACTTTGGATTTTGTTAAAATAAAAAGTTAAATATTTTGTTAAAATAAAAGATTGAATCATGAAAAATATGTTTGGGGTACCAAAACTTGGACCTGAACGGGGAATTAAAAAGACCTGAATGGACCTAAAAAATACGTGTAGATTTATTTAAACTGACAGAACTTTTTTTGTTGTTTTTAAATTGATTTTATTCAGAATTAGATTTTATTGAAGCGAAAGACTGATTTTATATTTATAGAAAAAAATTATTATGAACAAATACCATTTTGATGCTGAAACCTGGACCTGAAGGGGGAGATAAAAAAGATTGTCTGTGAAAAATTATTCAAATTTAAATAACTTGGTTAAATTGTATTTATACAGACATCTATAAAAATAGATTTTACAACTATCTTATATCTTTATTGAAAATAAAAAATATTTGCACATAAACACCATGTAGTCTAAAGATGTATGTTCGTTGTTTGGAATGTATTAATTGCATGAATGTGCGCTGGCTGTAATTCACACCTTGTATTAGCTAGTGTCAGATAATTGAATCATCATTATTGTGGCCTAAATAAACATTTCATTTTATAATCTTTTAATTGGATTATCATTTAATCTTGTTTCATGACTTGAACATTGTTCAGTTACAACATTAAAAAAAAGTAATTGAAATTTGAATAAATCTACCCGATTTTTTCAAGTTCATTCAGGCCTGTTTAGTCTTTGTTCAGGTCCAAGTTTTGTCACAAAATTAATATTTTTCATTAACTTCTTTTTTTATCTTAATAAATAATTTATCTTTAACTTTAACAAAATCTAAATTTGAAGGATATTCTTTGAAAAATTAAATGAATTAAGAATAAATATATTAGTGGAATAATGGGTCCAATCAGGTTTTAATTCCCCGTTCAGGTCCGAGTTTGGGCACCCAAAATATATTTTTCCCTATTTGTTTTTCAATTTTCAGAAAATGTTAATCTTCTTATTTAACAAAATCTAAAATTGAAGGAAATCCATTGAAAAATAAAAAAGTTTTTGACGCAATAATAAGTCTAACCATAGATTATCAGGTCCGTTCAGGTCTTTTCATTTCTCCATTCAGGTCTGAGTTTTGGCATATAAATTAACATTATTATTATTAATGTTTTCGTTTTTACAAAATATTGAACTTTTCCTTTAATAAAACTCAGACAAAAAATCCATTGGAAAGTGAAAAAGTTATTGTAATTTGAATAAATCGAGTCGTATATTTTCAGGTCTATTCAGGTCTTTTCAGGTCCACGTTCAGGTCTTTAGTGTAACCCGTTGGGTACACACTCAGAAGTGTTCATCTTTAATTTAGCACAACCTTCACTGTAAATCATATGACTTGTCATGTGACTCCCTCAAACCATAAAAAAAAATGGTTACCAAATTCTGTCTAAACACTTTGTTAATTTTACTGATATCAAGCTTTCTAACTGTTGTCAGTGTAAGATATGAACCAGATTGGAAGTCTTTAGATTCAAGACCACTACCAAGTTGGTATGACGAAGCAAAAATTGGTATCTTTATTCACTGGGGAGTGTTTTCCGTTCCATCATTTGGAAGCGAATGGTTCTGGTATAGATGGAAAACTTCTAAAGAACCAGGAATAGTTGACTTCATGAAAAGAAATTATAGACCAGGCTTTACATATGCTGATTTTGCTCCTAAGTTTACAACTGAATTTTACAATGCTGATGAATGGGCAAATATATTTAAGGCATCTGGTGCAAGGTAAAATAATAATGGGAAATGGAAATAGTAAATAGAAAGTAATGTAAAGATAAATAACAATTTAGTTTAAGTTCATGATACTAGTACATGTAATTAAGAAATTCAAGAAAATCAATACATTTTTTTTATAAAAACAATTCATACAACATTCGTAACATATTGTATTTTAATGGCTCTACATTATACAGATAAGCTAATACTGGTCAGATATCTTAATCATTAATTAATTTGACTACATTTGTACATATCTGCATTTCAAATATTGGTATGCCCCACCGCAGCAAAGGGGGCATGCTGCAGCAGGGACATTAAGTATTACCCTTGTCCATCTATACAGACAGACGTACCCAAAACTAGTTTCCATTCTCTAACTTTCATGACTTTAGTTTGCCTCAACCAAATGGTTTGAAACTTATACACAATCTGAGACTACTATAACACATATATGTGTTATAGTTATGTGTTATAGTAGTCTCAGACACAATGCATATTACCACCAAACACAGATCAAGTTTGAATTTGGGTGGCATCACTAACACCATTTTCGAGTTATGTCCCTTTATAATTTTATTAATGGAAAATTGGCAAATTTGCAATTTCTGCAATCTAAATTTATTTGACTCAACCAAATGTTATTAAACTTATACACAATTGTTATTTCCATCAATCTCAGATCATGTTTGAATTTGGCTGGTGTCACCTTCACTGTTCTAGAGTTATGTCCCTTTATAAATTTTAAAATTTGCTAATATTGTCGTTTCCACACTCTAATTACCACCAGACACAGATCAAGTCTGAATTTGGGTGTCATCACTTTCACAGTTCTTGAGTTATGTCTCTTTGTAAATTGAAAATTGCAGAATTTGTCGTATATTTCCTGCATCTTATGGACACATTCTTTATTTATTTTATTATCAATTTGAATTGGGCAACCGTTAAAGCCTATATACATCCTCTCCCATTACAAGATGGAAATATCAAATTGTGTTGAAATATATACAAATTATTTACTTAGTATTAGTCCATCTACCAGTAATTCATGCAGATAAACATGTGACTATTCAATGATTTATTCAAACCTCACATTTTACAGTGGACACAATTAGAGAATCAATGTGATCTAATAATTTAAAAAAAAACTGAATATTGGAGTGAATAATTGGCTGATTTATAAAGGTCCAAAAAATTTATAAAAAAGAACAATATTATTGGTTAATTATTCACATGAGAGTATCAAATAATATTTTATTTGGATACCCGTGTTATAATACATTGTAATACATGTAGTTATCTTTATGAAATTTATTGCTTAGTTAACAAAGGTTAAGATCAACTGCAAACGAATTGAAGAAACAATAGACTTGAAAATAAAACATAGGAAAAGAAAAAATGCATGTAGCAAAACATTTGGTTTGGTTTTTGTTAAACAGCTAAATCCCAAGTTATCAGAGTCAAGACAGCAGTCATGGTAGTTAGATGTATTTACAAATAAATTTTTGTATTTTGTAACAAATACCCTTAAAATCTTTTATTACTACAATGTTATTAACAGCTGTAGTTGTTTCTATATTTTCCTCTGGAGACCAGTCCATAGAAATAAAAAGGAATGTTCCAATACAGAGGAAGTTTTGATATTTCCTTAGTTTATAACTTTATATAATAGCTGTGTGCCTTCTCTAGTAAAAGAGAGGCGAAAGATACCAAAGGGATATTTAAACTCATAAGTTGAAAACAAACTGACAATTCCATGGCAAAAAATGAAAACAACGAAAAGACAAACAGTATACAAAACACAACAAAGAAACTAAAGACTGAGTAACACAAACCCCACCAAAAACCAGTTGCTCCGGAAGGGTTAGCAGATCCCTAAATAGAGGACTAACAAAGAAAAATTGAAAATTGTCCTCAATTTTATTCCCATAAGTATACTGTGAGCTCTCAGATATGTTAGAATGAATAAGGTGATTATTTAAGTTACCGACTTTGTTACTACCGCTGTAAGCTGACAACAGGAATTATTTCTAAGTATGGTTACCTATAGAATAATAATTGGGAGGCATCTCGATTTCCTTATTCAACTTTTTCTTTTGCAAAGACATGGAAGGCAAGCTTTGTTAATAGATATCCAAGATATTCAACATATTCATTGAACAAGGGAAAAAAACTTTCTTCGTAAAACTGAGTTTACTTAATAATATATATATTTTGTCGTTTAAGTATTTGTTAAATTATAACTGCTATTTTTAAATCTTACCTAGTTTCCATTTAACTGTTTTGTAGATATATTGTATTGGTAACCAAGCATCATGAAGGTTTTACAAATTGGCCATCCAATTATTCCTGGAATTGGAATTCTATGAGTGTTGGTCCAAAGAGAGATCTTGTTGGTAAGCTTTCTATGGATTAGATAGTTTTAAATGTTTCCGTCATCATAGGAAAAAAAAAGATGCCTTTATATTTGGTTTCATCTGTTGAAGTTGGGACAAAACAACATTTTTTAAACAAAACTCAAATTATAAATGTGTAAGCTCTATGTCAACATACAGTACGTACAAATTGTAGCTTACATTTTTGAACTTCTGGGGTTGGGAATAAATAATATTTTTGGACTACTGGGGCTGGGAATGAATAAGATTTTTGGACTACTGGGGCTGGGAATGAATAAGATTTTTAGACTACTGGGGCTGGGAATGAATAAGATTTTTGGACTACTGGGGCTGAGAATGAATAAGATTTTTGGACTACTAGCGCTGGGAATGAATAAGATTTTAGACTACTAGGGCTGGGAATGAATAAGATTTTTGGACTACTGGGGCTGGGAATGAATAAAATTTTTGGACTACTGGGGCAGGGAATGAATAAGATTTTTGGACTACTGGGGCTGGGAATGAATAAGATTTTTAGACTACTGGGGCTGGGAATGAATAAGATTTTTAGACTACTGGGGCTGGGAATGAATAAGATTTTTGGACTACTGGCGCTGGGAAGAAATAAGTTTAGAAACAAAAAGTATTAACTCCAAGGTAAATTCCAAAAGAGGGAAGTCAATAAAACCGGACAAAATCAAACACTTAAATACAGCAAACCAACAAAATGACTGGAAAATAACTGCCATATTCCTGTACAGCCATTTTCTGTAGAAAATGATGAGTTAAACCTGGTTTTATAGCTAACAAAAACCTTCCACTTGTATGACAGTTGTTTATAGTTCTGTTATATTGACAAGTTCTTTATATTTTTTGTTGACAGGTGATGCTTTAAACCAGGCATACAAAAAACAGGGATGTATATACACAATTTAAGTACAAGTAGTAAGCCACATTTAATTTTCAAATAATGGTATATGTAAACGTAACTGAATTAAATTTTGACTAACACTGATATTATATATATATGAACTTCCTATTTATTATTATATTACAGGTGAACTAGCCACAGCTATAAAGAGTAAAACAGATTTACATTTAGGACTGTACCATTCTTTACTGGAATGGTTTAATCCACTGTATATGGCAGATAAAGCCAGTGGATTTAAAACTCAGGGTTTTGTGAAAGTAAGTCAGTCTCATTTGTTGTTCTTGATCATGGAAACTGAAGGGTTTAATCAAATTTCATAGAATACATTTAGGGGGGAATCAAAGACTAGAAAGAATTTGAATAGACTCCTTTGTGATAGCTTGTGAGTACATCAACATTTTTAAACAACAAAAATTTAAACATTTGTAAAAACAATTAAACATTTACAAAAAAAACATTTAAAAAAAACAATTTAAACATTTAAAAAAACAAATTTGTATATTGACCAATACAAGAGCCAACAGACGGACAGAGCATTATCAAAAAAATACATAGCTTATAAATTCATATGGTTATTGTTTAAATGCTAAAATAACATTAAAAATTGCACAGATAATAACATAGAATATACAGTAACCAAGGGAAAGAAACTGAAAATGACACAACTTGACACCACATTATATGTTTATATGGAGGAAGTACATTCTAATCTGATAGAGGGGGAAACATGTTAAGAGCAATTCTCTGTAACCACCAAAATCCAATGGCACACACCAAACCAAAATGCCCCATATTTGATGTAATTGTGTTTAGTAGGCTAAGATGAGAAAAAAATTATGTTACACAAAAATGATATGTTTTGTCGTTTCCATGGTAACTGAGTCTGAACATGTCACAATGTGGAATAATGGCCTGAGATCCAATTTGCAGAAATTACTGTTGCTGTGTACATGTTGAACACAAAAAAGCACCTCAATATCAATATCTACTACAACTTATTATGAAATAAAGAAAAATTCTTTAAAACTGAGAATTCATTAATTGTATACTTGATTTTTCCTAAAGAAAGTAGTCTTCATCAGCTATTTCTATTCTCAGATTTCAAGAAAAGCCAGCCATTTCACAGTTAATCATAAATATATTTGAATTGAGCATTATATTGTTAATAATAAATAAAACAAACATTAATGGGCAAATGAATCCCTACTAAAATATTTCATTGTAACTATGGTAAACAATGAGCGTTTGTTGTGATATTTTTGGTTATTGGGCCCACCAAATTACCTCCCTTTTAGGAGGTCTTTTGCTGCAGGCTTACAAGAAAAGAAAGTTGAATGGAGGGAGAATCACAAATTGCCTAAATATTTTCTGGTGGGTAGATATAACCATGTGCACTGTGAATGAATATTTGAAGCACAATGATATATGCAATGGTGACATTTCCCCACTGAAATCCTTTTCCAACCATGAAAAAATATGTATTTTGTCTGAGTGTTCTTTGACTTTGTTGCAATCTGGTTACACGGACAAGCTAACAATCTGCAATACACATAAAGAAATATGTGCGGAGAATTTAAAAAGGAGAAGAAAAAGGCAGACATGTGGTATTTCTGCAGTCAATCCATTGATTTGCTGCCACACCTCTTCAAAAGCTGGTGACCGCCATGTCAGTGTGGAGATGCACACCAATAATGCCAGGAGTACAGGTGTTTTCATTCCTGTTGGGACACGTTAGTATATACTATAGTCAGCAATTATTGAATCAACAAAAAAAATAATAAGTTTGATTCAGAATGTGAGAGAAAAAATAATCTGGTCAGCAAGGGAAGAAAAAAAGAAAAGAATTAAATTTGAAAAAAATATTGTCATGCAGCGTCCCAAAGAAAATTCTGACAAGAAATAAAACTGACCTCCCTTTTTCAAGTTAAATGGTCCTTCCAATATGGCAATAACCCTCTCTCAGAATACTTTTTTCTTCCTTTGCTGACCAGAATATTTTTCCCCACACTTCAGAATCAAAATCCGTTTTTCAGAGAAAAAAAACATGCCCGCCTCCCTTTTCCAAGTTAAATGGTTGGTTCCTTATAATTCTGGCAGGCCTTTAAAAAAGAATCTGTTTGCCGTAATGTTTAAGGCCTTCTAGGCCTTGTAAGGAAGTATATCTAGGAACCTTTCCATACTGTTCAGTGTTGTAAAAATATGCCCACTTGATATGGAGTTGGCAGTGTCTGCTCGTACCCGCATGCAGGTACTCTTAGCCAAATTGGCTTTCATAGGCTATGCTTACCTGCAACGGATTATATAATAAACTGTCACATCATCCGGAATGAAACGTGAAAGATACACGAAAATTATCGGTTATTTCCTGATTTTGCGAATTCAGTGAAGTTATAATGACAAATAATATTTTTTAATTTGTATTTAATGTATTAGTTTAATTAGAAATTAAATGTAAATGCACATTAATAGACTAAAATTATACTAAATTTGAATAAATACTAGAACACACCCGCGAAATCATGGGTATTTAGAGCTTGGTTGAAAGTATGTAAACTGTTGTAGGATGATTTTTTGTAAAGATTTTATGTCTGGAGAATTTCAGAAAAGGTATCAAACTGAGTCATAGGCACTTGGAGACAGGACAATTATTTTAAGCCCTCTCCCTTTTTCCAAAGTCCGTTATTTTTTTGCTATCTGTTAAATTCCATGATTTTCGCGTTTCTGTATACTAAAAACTTACATACAATATAAATAAAATGTGTTTGCTATTAACTATCAATTCCAAGTTTCTTCTCCACGGCGATCACTGCTATATTATATAGAGAGTCTCTATATATTATAGGATTATAATCATAGTATACATAAAGAATAACGCAAAACTGAATAATCATAATAATGATTATTATGGTACCTATAGAACACAGAGGCATGCTGATTAATTTATTGGGGTAGAAAGTGAAGCGACACACAAAATGAGGTCTTCTCGTTTAATAGTATAGATATGTTAAAAAACTCGAGTTTGAAAGTTATTTTCTAATATAATTCGAAACCAGAAACAAAAATTTTAATATATATCTAAAACGACTAAAAATAAAGTTTGAGTGTATACACAATTTAAATCAATACTATAAAATTCCATACAATCTAAAACTAGATGCATTTGATAATTATGTACAAATGTATCCATTCAGAACTCGGGATTTATTGTTTGCTACTTCTACTGTTGCACCTGAAATATGATAGAATATTTCAGGTCTTCATATATAGGTTAAAATGAAAATTAAGTGTTATGTATGATGGATAAATTTATTTGAATTAATAAATGACAATCTATTTTATTTATGATCATTTATGCTAAGAACTTGAAATGTTCTTATTTTGTTTTCTCACTTGTTTGAAATGCCTTTTTAATTTGATTCTCATCTAAAAAAATATCGTATATTCCATTATTACATTATATCAATAATTATAGTTAATATTATTTAAAAACTAACCAGGAGCGTCTCTAGGAAAGCGTATTATGGATGTAGTAAAAATAAAATCGGTTTTGAACTTTTTTTTTCAAAGTCGAAATTTGACATTTCAAATCTTAAAATCTCTGTGAGTAATAATTTATTTTTCACTTATTGCGATAATTTCTGGATTGAATCAAATTGTATTCCAGAATCGAGGAAATTAAATTATAAAACCGGAGGCGGGAAAGCGTAGCCTAATAAGGCCAATTTGGGGTTGGTGCTATCAAGATATTTACTATGATAAATATTTGAATAAGGTGATTTCATAAAAAGAAACAAAATCTCACATTTTGATTAATTCTATCAGAAGCTCAAGCATAACAAATCGCCCCACTGGCAATTCGCCCCACTTGCGAAAAGGGCATAATCCTGTTAAATTTAATCCTGCCAACTGGCACCACTTAATGAAAAAATGTTAAATCTAGATGAATATATAATTTTCAGGTCTGCTAACTCGCCCCATTTAAATGAAAACTAATATCGTAGAATTGTTTATGGTTTGAAAAAAATGAGAAATTTGGTGGCATGGTTTTAAAAATTTTAAAAAAGTAAAGTAGCCTTCTTTTTTAGCTTCGGGCCCCATGTGAGCTTATGCCATCACTTGGCGTCCGTCGTCGTCTGTCGTCGTCGTAAACTATTTCAAAAATCTTCTCCTCTGAAACTACTGGGCCAAATACCTTTAAACTTTAACTAAATGTTCCTTATGGTATCTAGTTTATAAATTGTATCCGAAGTTTTGATCCATCGACAAACATGGCCGCCATGGCTAAAAATAGAACATAGGGGTCAAATGCAATTTTTGGCTTATATCTCAAAAACTAAAGCTTTTAGAGCAAATCTGACATGGGGTAAAATTGTTCAATTGGTCAAGATCTATCAGCTCTGAAATTTTCAGACGAATAGACATGATAGAACAACCCATTGTTGGGTTGCTGCCACCGAATTGGTAGTTTTAACAAAATTTTGCAGTTTTTTGTTATTATTATGAATATTATTATAGATATATATAAACTGTAAGCAGCAATAATGTTCAGCAAAGTAAGATCTACAAAAAAGTTAATATGACCATAATTGTCAATTGACCCCTTAAGGAGTTATTGCCCTTTAAAGACAATTTTACACAATTTGTTCATCAGGTTTGCTAACATTTAAAAATCTTCTCCTCTGAAATACAGGTGAGCGATTCAGGCTCTTGAGAGCCTCTTGTTATATTTGTCATGCATTTACTATGTCTACTGTGTATCCTTGTGCTTTTCTGTGATGCTCACATGAGTCATGAGTTAGCTTTCTTAATTAATCGTGGTTTTATCTATCCCAGTAGTTCTGTCATGAGTGGGGCAAATCGGCAGACCTTATTTCAACTGGATTTTAAACCTTTTCATAAGTAGGACAAGTTATCCAACCTATTTTCAATGGGATTTTACCCTTTTTCATAAGTAGGACAAGTTATCCAACCTATTTTCAATGGGATTTTAACCTTTTTCGTAAGTGGGGTGAGTTGGTAACCAAGAGTGGGACAATTTTTTAGATGGTGGGGCAAGTTGTTGAAAAAGTGGGGCGATTAGGTGTGGGGCGATTTGTCATGGATTCCTTCTATCATTAAAGAAAGCCATTGAAGTCCAGTCACACTGTTTGTCCGTCCATCCTTTTTGTATTGTACTGTAAAAGAACAGAGGGTTTGTATGCATGCTGTAAAAATGACACTTCTGTCCAACATTTTCTCTCATATCCAACACAATTGA